ACGAGATCGGGCGTGTTCAGGGTGGTGAGAAGCTTTTGTTCTGGAACGGGTGCTCTCGCTGTGAAAATAACGCAAAAAACATCTGGGACTGTGACAAGCCAACACCACCGTCACCACCTCTTTATACAATGTCAAGGTAGGACTTTAGGTTTCGCTTTGGTTTCCTTTATTTATACCATATCGTGGGGCTGCACCAGTATTGATACCGGTATTGTTAGCTCTAGTCAAGTCAAATCTATAGTCAGATTCACAAAAAACATTTGCCTCAATGGACCCTCACACAAAAACAATGGAACAGGAGCTCATGCCAACAATACAAAATAGAGCAGAACACCTTAAAATATTAAGGTAAATGAAATTAGATCACACACTGCAAGTGTTTTGGCAACTGCTTTGGGAGAAAGAAAACCACCCCTTTAACAGGACAAAATCTCACAGAAATCACAGAAGAATAGGGAAAATAAAATGTACCCTGGGAGTTCCTCCAGGAGTCTAGGCCTAAACCAGGTCTAACTTTGAATTTAGAGACTCCCTAACCCCCATTAGTGAGGAGCCTGGTAGCTAAAAGCTCTTTTGGTTCTTCCGTACTTGTTACTCAGGCGGCAACATTTTAGATAAGTGCGTTTTTTTGTTTTTTTTTTACAAACGTTTTAGGACAACATGGCAGCAGTATTAGCTTAATTATGTAATATCGGTGAGAATCAGTATCGGTTTTTCCTCCGATAATGAAATCCCGAAGACGCAATGTCTGGGTTTGGTGTGACCTAAAATAATTCTGAAGGTAAAGTGAAACTATTATTTGTATTCTGCACAGTATTGTCATTGTGACACAGCAATGAAATGTTTACTCCGCCTTTAACCCATACAGCTGCGTATATATCGGTATTGGTTGATATCGTAATCGGAAATGAAGTGTTTGGACAAGAGCACAGACGAGAGCACAGAGAAGGTAAATATCATGCTGGTGATAATGGGTGTTAACATGGTGTTGATTATGATCCTTCCTTAAAATTACACATTGTATTCTATTCAGAATACCTGCAATATGTTTTTAATTCTGGGTAGTATTGGTTTTCCTGGAGATAATTTGTTAAACCATAAATTGTCTGCTTATGCGTATTTAAGAAATCTACAATAATAGAATGCAATAATTACTTAATCTAAAATTTTAATATAATTGGTTTCCATATGTAAACTACAGTGGAACCTCGGGATACCAGCACAATCCGTTCTAGGACCGAGCTCTTAACTCGATGTACTCGTATCTTAAATGATTTTTTTCCCATAAGAAATAACACATACAAAAAAAATAAAAATTACGTTCCGGCCCTTTAAAAAAACTCCCTTATTAGTGCTAATAAAAATGGGAAAAAACAGTTTTTAATTGCTATAGAGACATAGACACATAAAAAAAATAGTATATAAGGATTCCTGTGATGAGTTCTTATCTCCGAGAGAAACGATACAGTAGCGGCTAATGGCGGCATGTGCGAAGGAGGAAGGGAGGGAAGAGAGTTGGCCCGTACGTAGACACTTGATTCTGTAGCGTACCTTAGATGTACACTACGCAAATGACATAAACTTAGAATTAGCTTAATGTAATTATGTAATTATTTTTTACTTTAGGATGGTACATATCACTACCATCCTAACCACCCACTCTCTGAGGACTCATCACTATTATGAAGAATAATGCACAAAATAGAGAGAAAATCACGTAGATAACGCAAATCGCAAATACTACGTATGTGGAGACGCTCGCATCTCGAGGTTCCACTGTAATTATTGTTATTGTTAGTATCGGTTCTGGTATTTATTATTATATTGTATCATATATTATTAACTGATTTTTTTATAACTTTTTTTTTTATTTTGGGTTTTGGGTTTTGTTGTATACCTGCAATGATCTCGCTTTTCTTGTTGAAGATATGTTTTTGTTGCAGGTGAATTTGGAAATGTCTTTTAAATGCGAACAAAATCACAAAGACATCAGATACTGTGTCACTTCGAAATCGTGTACAGGAGTCAGACCTGCTGAGATCTACTGTAACGGTGATGAAACGACACGCCTTCGCGACGGATGACCTCATAAGTCTTACAGAAAGAGATGATGTTAAAAATGTAAAAATGGTACCAACGCTACAATCAACAACAATGACTTTACACCTGTGTCTCTTTTTAGGGTATGAGTATCTTCACCCTGCCAGTAGTCCGCCATCGACAGCGGGTCATTATGAGTGGCTGGTTTTGCCGATTCTGATCGTTGCATTGATCATTTCAATTTGCATCGTCAAGAAATTCAAAAAAACATCTCTTTCCAAAAGTGAGTCATTCAATCAGTTGACAAGATGAAGGCTAGTAGTAAGCTATTTACGTGAAGTAGTTCACTTCGGTTAGGTTGTAAGCAAAAAAATGAGAAGAGAAAATGTTTTTATGCGGCGCATTCAGTGGAATAGAAATAATGATAGTGGTAACAGCAAATACAGTTAGAATATAAATAGCATCTTAGAGAAAGGTTAAACATAATGTAAATATTTTAAAAAGCTAATAAATATACCTTCATATTATTTTAATTTCTTCTGGTAGTTTTTGCAATGTTCCGCCCTTTAGTTCCTCTGCCACTGGAGGTCAGTGTTTCTGGATATTAAGAATACTTCACAGTACAACAGAACAACCCAGTAAGATGGTGGTGGTTAAAATAAATGCCCACTGCTGTATTTTTCATTCAAGAAGAGAAAGTGCTGTCAAGGAAGGCAGCAGAGATCGAAAGTGGAGATTATGAAGAAGTCCACAGTGACGCAAACGAAATGGAGGAGTTGGACAAAAGAAGTGAGTGATAAACGTTCAACCTTATTTTTATTTGTTTTAGAGTAAATGTTAATTTCTCTCATCTTGGCTACGAAGAGAGCGTATTGGTGAATTACGGTAGTTCACGATGTGTCTGTTTAACCTGATCATGCAGCGTCAAGATCACCGACTGAGAGTCTTACAGCCGAACAAGCTCGCGGCTCCCCCTCTTTGACCAACGGTAAAGAAGCCAAGGCCCAGCCACTGAACTCAGAGCATTTAGAGGGTAAGTGAAATACTCTACTGATATACTGAGAATCGGATGCTTTTCGTATAAGCTAAGGCACGCAGGATGACTTTTCAAAACTATTATTTGAAACCCACGGCCTCTGCAACACTTTAAAATCCACTAAATATTTTTAAAGAATAAAAAAGTCACAGTAGTTGTTGCCCAACCCATACACAAAGTAGGACTGGGAGTTTAGAACTAGGCCAGTGAGCTAAAACCTGATCATGAAGCATGCCAAAAAAACATACCTTGAAGTGATCTTTGACCTACCCTTTAAGGTACTCGTTAAGAAAGGAAAGCAAAGGCTAAAGTCCAGGGACAGCCTGGCTTTGCAAACTTGCCGGTTCAACATAGGGGGCAGCAGTTCCCATTCGCATACCTCAGCAAAGGCCCGTTTGGACAACAGCACCCTCTCCTGTACACTGGTCTTTTCATACATCGCTGCTCCACACATCTGACGAGTAGCACATACAAAGCTAAGAATGCCAAGTCCATTGCATGCTTCTATGGAGAAAAAAACAACAATGAAGCAATGAATCAACGCTGCAAAACAATCCCTATACATGTTGAGAGGCCAATACTAAAAAGTAATGGAACACGTTGTTTTGTCCAGCCTGTGTTAGCATGAACCTTTCCTCTATGCAAAAGAAAACAACATTAGAAGTATGCAGCCTATAAAGTGACATCAGGGATAAATGGCAAAGAAACACCGATCTGTGCTCATGTGCTAAAACATTCGGAACAATTTTCAGAGCAAAGGTTTTTAGCAAAAGCCTTGATGCCTTTTCTGCAGGGAGCTTATGGTTCACTATGTTTGAAATTAACTACAGTAGTCCCATGCTATTTCGTGGTTCATCTTTCGCGGATTCACGACTTTGCGGATTTTTGAAACCATCTATATAAAATATACTGTATCCTGGATTTGGATCTGCAAGAGATGTCACAGGAATGAGATGACGATACTTGTTACTCAGGCGGCAACATTTTAGATAAGTGCGTTTTTTTGTTTTTTTTTTACAAACGTTTTAGGACAACATGGCAGCAGAGAAGTAAAGTAGTCCAACCTGGATGCAATAGAATCACTAGTTTTCATCTTTTAGCATAAGGATACTTTGCCTCTAAAGACAGATCTGTGGAACTGATGGCTAAGGTGATGTTATCCATAACACCCCCAAAAATATCTTTACTCATTTCAAACATATAAACACACACATATAAACCTGAGACATGACGTTCCTATCCCAAAACATGTAAAAAAATATGCCAACCCACTTCAAAATCCCTGCGGGCTAATTCTGTTAGATCTAAATTATTATTTTGAAGGTTAAATACAGTAGCCTCGGGCCTAGATATGGCATCTGCGGGCCTTGGATGTGACATCTTCGAGTACCGATACCAATGAATTTGAAGCCTAGTCTGGAATTAGGATAGCATTAGCATTCAGTAACCTGATGTTAAGCATGCAACTACATTGTTTAATTTACTACGCTGACAGTTTTCCTACAATTTAATTATTTAAAAAAACCCTCAATATGTCAACGTACCAATAGTATTGCAGTATATCGCAGTGTATCCTATGGCTGCCCTTGTATGGTGATACATATCGTATTGCCGGATTCGGCAGGTATACCGGGCCAAAAACATTTCTTATCCCATTTGAAGTCCAAGAATACTAGATGCAGATCTTGTTTTACCGAGTTAATATATGAGACTGATCATTTTTATATATGATAACGTGCTGACTATGTTCTATTTCTCTTTTCTACCTCTACCCCCAGATACTCCAAAAGTCAGCCTTTCAGAAAACTGTCACGGGCTGGTCAAAATAGATGGCATAGAAGTGTGTAACAGTTTCTGGAACATGGAGATGTCACACATGGTTTGCCAGGAACAAAATTGCAGCAATGCTATTACTCCCACTAAAACCATAGGTGCGAAATCTAATGCTGACTACTACCATTCTTACCATTTCCATCATGAGCTTGGCCAGTGTTGGAGGGTAACGGGAATGTGTGGTCCTGGGAAAGAGCTGGTGTCCGTTAACTGCATCGGTAAGACTAAAACACATCTCCATTTTGTACAGTAAGCTTCTAGATGACAATTAGTGCAGGTATCTACGCCTGTTGTTGAGAAAATATTTTTTTTTATGTTCAAAATAAACATATAAATAGATGAGCTAGCGCTGTCAATCAATTGTAATCAAAAATCAAAAAATTGTAATCAGATTAATCATCGAATAGCTATGGAAATGTTTTAACAAGAAATGTCCGATATATCGGCCAACCGATATTAATGGACAATATTAGCTTAATTATGTAATATCGGTGAGAATCAGTATCGGTTTTTCCTCCGATAATGAAATCCCGAAGACGCAATGTCTGGGTTTGGTGTGACCTAAAATAATTCTGAAGGTAAAGTGAAACTATTATTTGTATTCTGCACAGTATTGTCATTGTGACACAGCAATGAAATGTTTACTCCGCCTTTAACCCATACAGCTGCGTATATATCGGTATTGGTTGATATCGTAATCGGAAATGAAGTGTTTGGACAATATCGACATTGGATGTGTTTGGTTTTGTTTCTATCCAAGCAATCCCCGTTGCTGTCGGTGTTACTAAATTGTTTCAGTTTCAGTTATTGTAAACACTTTTCTTTCTGGGTTCTGTTTGGTTCAGAACTGACCAACGATGTGGGGGCCAGCTCAAGATCAGTTATGGAGATAAGTTGGAGATACTTTAACCCATACAGCTGCGTATATATCGGTATTGGTTGATATCGTAATCGGAAATGAAGTGTTTGGACAAGAGCACAGACGAGAGCACAGAGAAGGTAAATATCATGCTGGTGATAATGGGTGTTAACATGGTGTTGATTATGATCCTTCCTTAAAATTACACATTGTATTCTATTCAGAATACCTGCAATATGTTTTTAATTCTGGGTAGTATTGGTTTTCCTGGAGATAATTTGTTAAACCATAAATTGTCTGCTTATGCGTATTTAAGAAATCTACAATAATAGAATGCAATAATTACTTAATCTAAAATTTTAATATAATTGGTTTCCATATGTAAACTACAGTGGAACCTCGGGATACCAGCACAATCCGTTCTAGGACCGAGCTCTTAACTCGATGTACTCGTATCTTAAATGATTTTTTTCCCATAAGAAATAACACATACAAAAAAAATAAAAATTACGTTCCGGCCCTTTAAAAAAACTCCCTTATTAGTGCTAATAAAAATGGGAAAAAACAGTTTTTAATTGCTATAGAGACATAGACACATAAAAAAAATAGTATATAAGGATTCCTGTGATGAGTTCTTATCTCCGAGAGAAACGATACAGTAGCGGCTAATGGCGGCATGTGCGAAGGAGGAAGGGAGGGAAGAGAGTTGGCCCGTACGTAGACACTTGATTCTGTAGCGTACCTTAGATGTACACTACGCAAATGACATAAACTTAGAATTAGCTTAATGTAATTATGTAATTATTTTTTACTTGATGATATGTAGTGATATGTAGGATGGTACATATCACTACCATCCTAACCACCCACTCTCTGAGGACTCATCACTATTATGAAGAATAATGCACAAAATAGAGAGAAAATCACGTAGATAACGCAGATCGCAAATACTACGTATGTGGAGACGCTCACATCTCGAGGTTCCACTGGAATTACTGTTATTGTTAGTATCGTTTCTAGTATTTATTATAATATTGTATTATATGTTATTAACTGATTTTTTTATAACTTTTTTAAAATTTTTGGTTTCGGGTTTTGTTGTATACCTGCAATGATCTCGCTTTTCTTGTTGAAGATATGTTTTTGTTGCAGGTGAATTTGGAAATGTCTTTTAAATGCGAACAAAATCACAAAGACATCAGATACTGTGTCACTTCGAAATCGTGTACAGGAGTCAGACCTGCTGAGATCTACTGTAACGGTGATGAAACGACACGCCTTCGCGACGGATGACCTCATAAGTCTTACAGAAAGAGATGATGTTAAAAATGTAAAAATGGTACCAACGCTACAATCAACAACAATGACTTTACACCTGTGTCTCTTTTTAGGGTATGAGTATCTTCAACCTGCCAGTAGTCCGCCATCGACAGCGGGTCATTATGAGTGGCTGGGTTTGCCGATTCTGATCGTTGCATTGATCATTTCAATTTGCATCGTCAAGAAATTCAAAAAAACATCTCTTTCCAAAAGTGAGTCATTCAATCAGTTGACAAGATGAAGGCTAGTAGTAAGCTATTTACGTGAAGTAGTTCACTTCGGTTAGGTTGTAAGCAAAAAAATGAGAAGAGAAAATGTTTTTATGCGGCGCATTCAGTGGAATAGAAATAATGATAGTGGTAACAGCAAATACAGTTAGAATATAAATAGCATCTTAGAGAAAGGTTAAACATAATGTAAATATTTTAAAAAGCTAATAAATATACCTTCATATTATTTTAATTTCTTCTGGTAGTTTTTGCAATGTTCCGCCCTTTAGTTCCTCTGCCACTGGAGGTCAGTGTTTCTGGATATTAAGAATACTTCACAGTACAACAGAACAACCCAGTAAGATGGTGGTGGTTAAAATAAATGCCCACTGCTGTATTTTTCATTCAAGAAGAGAAAGTGCTGTCAAGGAAGGCAGCAGAGATCGAAAGTGGAGATTATGAAGAAGTCCACAGTGACGCAAACGAAATGGAGGAGTTGGACAAAAGAAGTGAGTGATAAACGTTCAACCTTATTTTTATTTGTTTTAGAGTAAATGTTAATTTCTCTCATCTTGGCTACGAAGAGAGCGTATTGGTGAATTACGGTAGTTCACGATGTGTCTGTTTAACCTGATCATGCAGCGTCAAGATCACCGACTGAGAGTCTTACAGCCGAACAAGCTCGCGGCTCCCCCTCTTTGACCAACGGTAAAGAAGCCAAGGCCCAGCCACTGAACTCAGAGCATTTAGAGGGTAAGTGAAATACTCTACTGATATACTGAGAATCGGATGCTTTTCGTATAAGCTAAGGCACGCAGGATGACTTTTCAAAACTATTATTTGAAACCCACGGCCTCTGCAACACTTTAAAATCCACTAAATATTTTTAAAGAATAAAAAAGTCACAGTAGTTGTTGCCCAACCCATACACAAAGTAGGACTGGGAGTTTAGAACTAGGCCAGTGAGCTAAAACCTGATCATGAAGCATGCCAAAAAAACATACCTTGAAGTGATCTTTGACCTACCCTTTAAGGTACTCGTTAAGAAAGGAAAGCAAAGGCTAAAGTCCAGGGACAGCCTGGCTTTGCAAACTTGCCGGTTCAACATAGGGGGCAGCAGTTCCCATTCGCATACCTCAGCAAAGGCCCGTTTGGACAACAGCACCCTCTCCTGTACACTGGTCTTTTCATACATCGCTGCTCCACACATCTGACGAGTAGCACATACAAAGCTAAGAATGCCAAGTCCATTGCATGCTTCTATGGAGAAAAAAACAACAATGAAGCAATGAATCAACGCTGCAAAACAATCCCTATACATGTTGAGAGGCCAATACTAAAAAGTAATGGAACACGTTGTTTTGTCCAGCCTGTGTTAGCATGAACCTTTCCTCTATGCAAAAGAAAACAACATTAGAAGTATGCAGCCTATAAAGTGACATCAGGGATAAATGGCAAAGAAACACCGATCTGTGCTCATGTGCTAAAACATTCGGAACAATTTTCAGAGCAAAGGTTTTTAGCAAAAGCCTTGATGCCTTTTCTGCAGGGAGCTTATGGTTCACTATGTTTGAAATTAACTACAGTAGTCCCATGCTATTTCGTGGTTCATCTTTCGCGGATTCACGACTTTGCGGATTTTTGAAACCATCTATATAAAATATACTGTATCCTGGATTTGGATCTGCAAGAGATGTCACAGGAATGAGATGACGATACTTGTTACTCAGGCGGCAACATTTTAGATAAGTGCGTTTTTTTGTTTTTTTTTTACAAACGTTTTAGGACAACATGGCAGCAGAGAAGTAAAGTAGTCCAACCTGGATGCAATAGAATCACTAGTTTTCATCTTTTAGCATAAGGATACTTTGCCTCTAAAGACAGATCTGTGGAACTGATGGCTAAGGTGATGTTATCCATAACACCCCCAAAAATATCTTTACTCATTTCAAACATATAAACACACACATATAAACCTGAGACATGACGTTCCTATCCCAAAACATGTAAAAAAATATGCCAACCCACTTCAAAATCCCTGCGGGCTAATTCTGTTAGATCTAAATTATTATTTTGAAGGTTAAATACAGTAGCCTCGGGCCTAGATATGGCATCTGCGGGCCTTGGATGTGACATCTTCGAGTACCGATACCAATGAATTTGAAGCCTAGTCTGGAATTAGGATAGCATTAGCATTCAGTAACCTGATGTTAAGCATGCAACTACATTGTTTAATTTACTACGCTGACAGTTTTCCTACAATTTAATTATTTAAAAAAACCCTCAATATGTCAACGTACCAATAGTATTGCAGTATATCGCAGTGTATCCTATGGCTGCCCTTGTATGGTGATACATATCGTATTGCCGGATTCGGCAGGTATACCGGGCCAAAAACATTTCTTATCCCATTTGAAGTCCAAGAATACTAGATGCAGATCTTGTTTTACCGAGTTAATATATGAGACTGATCATTTTTATATATGATAACGTGCTGACTATGTTCTATTTCTCTTTTCTACCTCTACCCCCAGATACTCCAAAAGTCAGCCTTTCAGAAAACTGTCACGGGCTGGTCAAAATAGATGGCATAGAAGTGTGTAACAGTTTCTGGAACATGGAGATGTCACACATGGTTTGCCAGGAACAAAATTGCAGCAATGCTATTACTCCCACTAAAACCATAGGTGCGAAATCTAATGCTGACTACTACCATTCTTACCATTTCCATCATGAGCTTGGCCAGTGTTGGAGGGTAACGGGAATGTGTGGTCCTGGGAAAGAGCTGGTGTCCGTTAACTGCATCGGTAAGACTAAAACACATCTCCATTTTGTACAGTAAGCTTCTAGATGACAATTAGTGCAGGTATCTACGCCTGTTGTTGAGAAAATATTTTTTTTTATGTTCAAAATAAACATATAAATAGATGAGCTAGCGCTGTCAATCAATTGTAATCAAAAATCAAAAAATTGTAATCAGATTAATCATCGAATAGCTATGGAAATGTTTTAACAAGAAATGTCCGATATATCGGCCAACCGATATTAATGGACAATATTAGCTTAATTATGTAATATCGGTGAGAATCAGTATCGGTTTTTCCTCCGATAATGAAATCCCGAAGACGCAATGTCTGGGTTTGGTGTGACCTAAAATAATTCTGAAGGTAAAGTGAAACTATTATTTGTATTCTGCACAGTATTGTCATTGTGACACAGCAATGAAATGTTTACTCCGCCTTTAACCCATACAGCTGCGTATATATCGGTATTGGTTGATATCGTAATCGGAAATGAAGTGTTTGGACAATATCGACATTGGATGTGTTTGGTTTTGTTTCTATCCAAGCAATCCCCGTTGCTGTCGGTGTTACTAAATTGTTTCAGTTTCAGTTATTGTAAACACTTTTCTTTCTGGGTTCTGTTTGGTTCAGAACTGACCAACGATGTGGGGGCCAGCTCAAGATCAGTTATGGAGATAAGTTGGAGATAAGAGAGTCTGTCCGATGGATTTCTCCTCAAAGACAAGCGGTAATCTTTGTCGTGCACTTAACTGCCACGGTCACGGTCACAACCAAACCTTAAGAACCAGGGAGAGCACAGAGAAGGTAAATATCATGCTGGTGATAATGGGTGTTAACATGGTGTTGATTATGATCCTTCCTTAAAATTACACATTGTATTCTATTCAGAATACCTGCAATATGTTTTTAATTCTGGGTAGTATTGGTTTTCCTGGAGATAATTTGTTAAACCATAAATTGTCTGCTTATGCGTATTTAAGAAATCTACAATAATAGAATGCAATAATTACTTAATCTAAAATTTTAATATAATTGGTTTCCATATGTAAACTACAGTGGAACCTCGGGATACCAGCACAATCCGTTCTAGGACCGAGCTCTTAACTCGATGTACTCGTATCTTAAATGATTTTTTTCCCATAAGAAATAACACATACAAAAAAAATAAAAATTACGTTCCGGCCCTTTAAAAAAACTCCCTTATTAGTGCTAATAAAAATGGGAAAAAACAGTTTTTAATTGCTATAGAGACATAGACACATAAAAAAAATAGTATATAAGGATTCCTGTGATGAGTTCTTATCTCCGAGAGAAACGATACAGTAGCGGCTAATGGCGGCATGTGCGAAGGAGGAAGGGAGGGAAGAGAGTTGGCCCGTACGTAGACACTTGATTCTGTAGCGTACCTTAGATGTACACTACGCAAATGACATAAACTTAGAATTAGCTTAATGTAATTATGTAATTATTTTTTACTTTAGGATGGTACATATCACTACCATCCTAACCACCCACTCTCTGAGGACTCATCACTATTATGAAGAATAATGCACAAAATAGAGAGAAAATCACGTAGATAACGCAAATCGCAAATACTACGTATGTGGAGACGCTCGCATCTCGAGGTTCCACTGTAATTATTGTTATTGTTAGTATCGGTTCTGGTATTTATTATTATATTGTATCATATATTATTAACTGATTTTTTTATAACTTTTTTTTTTATTTTGGGTTTTGGGTTTTGTTGTATACCTGCAATGATCTCGCTTTTCTTGTTGAAGATATGTTTTTGTTGCAGGTGAATTTGGAAATGTCTTTTAAATGCGAACAAAATCACAAAGACATCAGATACTGTGTCACTTCGAAATCGTGTACAGGAGTCAGACCTGCTGAGATCTACTGTAACGGTGATGAAACGACACGCCTTCGCGACGGATGACCTCATAAGTCTTACAGAAAGAGATGATGTTAAAAATGTAAAAATGGTACCAACGCTACAATCAACAACAATGACTTTACACCTGTGTCTCTTTTTAGGGTATGAGTATCTTCACCCTGCCAGTAGTCCGCCATCGACAGCGGGTCATTATGAGTGGCTGGTTTTGCCGATTCTGATCGTTGCATTGATCATTTCAATTTGCATCGTCAAGAAATTCAAAAAAACATCTCTTTCCAAAAGTGAGTCATTCAATCAGTTGACAAGATGAAGGCTAGTAGTAAGCTATTTACGTGAAGTAGTTCACTTCGGTTAGGTTGTAAGCAAAAAAATGAGAAGAGAAAATGTTTTTATGCGGCGCATTCAGTGGAATAGAAATAATGATAGTGGTAACAGCAAATACAGTTAGAATATAAATAGCATCTTAGAGAAAGGTTAAACATAATGTAAATATTTTAAAAAGCTAATAAATATACCTTCATATTATTTTAATTTCTTCTGGTAGTTTTTGCAATGTTCCGCCCTTTAGTTCCTCTGCCACTGGAGGTCAGTGTTTCTGGATATTAAGAATACTTCACAGTACAACAGAACAACCCAGTAAGATGGTGGTGGTTAAAATAAATGCCCACTGCTGTATTTTTCATTCAAGAAGAGAAAGTGCTGTCAAGGAAGGCAGCAGAGATCGAAAGTGGAGATTATGAAGAAGTCCACAGTGACGCAAACGAAATGGAGGAGTTGGACAAAAGAAGTGAGTGATAAACGTTCAACCTTATTTTTATTTGTTTTAGAGTAAATGTTAATTTCTCTCATCTTGGCTACGAAGAGAGCGTATTGGTGAATTACGGTAGTTCACGATGTGTCTGTTTAACCTGATCATGCAGCGTCAAGATCACCGACTGAGAGTCTTACAGCCGAACAAGCTCGCGGCTCCCCCTCTTTGACCAACGGTAAAGAAGCCAAGGCCCAGCCACTGAACTCAGAGCATTTAGAGGGTAAGTGAAATACTCTACTGATATACTGAGAATCGGATGCTTTTCGTATAAGCTAAGGCACGCAGGATGACTTTTCAAAACTATTATTTGAAACCCACGGCCTCTGCAACACTTTAAAATCCACTAAATATTTTTAAAGAATAAAAAAGTCACAGTAGTTGTTGCCCAACCCATACACAAAGTAGGACTGGGAGTTTAGAACTAGGCCAGTGAGCTAAAACCTGATCATGAAGCATGCCAAAAAAACATACCTTGAAGTGATCTTTGACCTACCCTTTAAGGTACTCGTTAAGAAAGGAAAGCAAAGGCTAAAGTCCAGGGACAGCCTGGCTTTGCAAACTTGCCGGTTCAACATAGGGGGCAGCAGTTCCCATTCGCATACCTCAGCAAAGGCCCGTTTGGACAACAGCACCCTCTCCTGTACACTGGTCTTTTCATACATCGCTGCTCCACACATCTGACGAGTAGCACATACAAAGCTAAGAATGCCAAGTCCATTGCATGCTTCTATGGAGAAAAAAACAACAATGAAGCAATGAATCAACGCTGCAAAACAATCCCTATACATGTTGAGAGGCCAATACTAAAAAGTAATGGAACACGTTGTTTTGTCCAGCCTGTGTTAGCATGAACCTTTCCTCTATGCAAAAGAAAACAACATTAGAAGTATGCAGCCTATAAAGTGACATCAGGGATAAATGGCAAAGAAACACCGATCTGTGCTCATGTGCTAAAACATTCGGAACAATTTTCAGAGCAAAGGTTTTTAGCAAAAGCCTTGATGCCTTTTCTGCAGGGAGCTTATGGTTCACTATGTTTGAAATTAACTACAGTAGTCCCATGCTATTTCGTGGTTCATCTTTCGCGGATTCACGACTTTGCGGATTTTTGAAACCATCTATATAAAATATACTGTATCCTGGATTTGGATCTGCAAGAGATGTCACAGGAATGAGATGACGATACTTGTTACTCAGGCGGCAACATTTTAGATAAGTGCGTTTTTTTGTTTTTTTTTTACAAACGTTTTAGGACAACATGGCAGCAGAGAAGTAAAGTAGTCCAACCTGGATGCAATAGAATCACTAGTTTTCATCTTTTAGCATAAGGATACTTTGCCTCTAAAGACAGATCTGTGGAACTGATGGCTAAGGTGATGTTATCCATAACACCCCCAAAAATATCTTTACTCATTTCAAACATATAAACACACACATATAAACCTGAGACATGACGTTCCTATCCCAAAACATGTAAAAAAATATGCCAACCCACTTCAAAATCCCTGCGGGCTAATTCTGTTAGATCTAAATTATTATTTTGAAGGTTAAATACAGTAGCCTCGGGCCTAGATATGGCATCTGCGGGCCTTGGATGTGACATCTTCGAGTACCGATACCAATGAATTTGAAGCCTAGTCTGGAATTAGGATAGCATTAGCATTCAGTAACCTGATGTTAAGCATGCAACTACATTGTTTAATTTACTACGCTGACAGTTTTCCTACAATTTAATTATTTAAAAAAACCCTCAATATGTCAACGTACCAATAGTATTGCAGTATATCGCAGTGTATCCTATGGCTGCCCTTGTATGGTGATACATATCGTATTGCCGGATTCGGCAGGTATACCGGGCCAAAAACATTTCTTATCCCATTTGAAGTCCAAGAATACTAGATGCAGATCTTGTTTTACCGAGTTAATATATGAGACTGATCATTTTTATATATGATAACGTGCTGACTATGTTCTATTTCTCTTTTCTACCTCTACCCCCAGATACTCCAAAAGTCAGCCTTTCAGAAAACTGTCACGGGCTGGTCAAAATAGATGGCATAGAAGTGTGTAACAGTTTCTGGAACATGGAGATGTCACACATGGTTTGCCAGGAACAAAATTGCAGCAATGCTATTACTCCCACTAAAACCATAGGTGCGAAATCTAATGCTGACTACTACCATTCTTACCATTTCCATCATGAGCTTGGCCAGTGTTGGAGGGTAACGGGAATGTGTGGTCCTGGGAAAGAGCTGGTGTCCGTTAACTGCATCGGTAAGACTAAAACACATCTCCATTTTGTACAGTAAGCTTCTAGATGACAATTAGTGCAGGTATCTACGCCTGTTGTTGAGAAAATATTTTTTTTTATGTTCAAAATAAACATATAAATAGATGAGCTAGCGCTGTCAATCAATTGTAATCAAAAATCAAAAAATTGTAATCAGATTAATCATCGAATAGCTATGGAAATGTTTTAACAAGAAATGTCCGATATATCGGCCAACCGATATTAATGGACAATATTAGCTTAATTATGTAATATCGGTGAGAATCAGTATCGGTTTTTCCTCCGATAATGAAATCCCGAAGACGCAATGTCTGGGTTTGGTGTGACCTAAAATAATTCTGAAGGTAAAGTGAAACTATTATTTGTATTCTGCACAGTATTGTCATTGTGACACAGCAATGAAATGTTTACTCCGCCTTTAACCCATACAGCTGCGTATATATCGGTATTGGTTGATATCGTAATCGGAAATGAAGTGTTTGGACAATATCGACATTGGATGTGTTTGGTTTTGTTTCTATCCAAGCAATCCCCGTTGCTGTCGGTGTTACTAAATTGTTTCAGTTTCAGTTATTGTAAACACTTTTCTTTCTGGGTTCTGTTTGGTTCAGAACTGACCAACGATGTGGGGGCCAGCTCAAGATCAGTTATGGAGATAAGTTGGAGATAAGAGAGTCTGTCCGACCCCCTCTCCCCGCCCCCCCCCCCCCCCTGTCAAATTTTATGATCCGATGTGGCCCGTGAATTAAAAAGTTTGCCCATGCCTGATCTAAATGAAAGGCCCCATCGACGCTACCGCTCTGGTCTCTGTAGCGGTACTGCAGCCGTGTAAATAACCTTGATGTGACTGGGTTGCCACAAGATAATCACAGCTGCAAATTTAGCACAGTGATAATTGAACACAAGCGTCATTATGTGAAACACTTGAGGCCCTTCGACATGGGTTGCCATCTGTAACGACGTGCGAGAGAAACCCAGTGAGGCTGTCAAGCTAACACCAGTACGTATCAATGTAATGTGCGAGTAACGAACTTCACTACTGTACTACCTGCTTTCACAGACCACCAATCATCTCTGGCCAGAGCCAACACACACGCTGACTTTCTTCCCAACAGGAACTTCTGTGAATGGCTTTGGAAACAGCTCAGATGTTGAGTATCAAACTGCATGTTTTATTTGTTACATATAGTTTGATGCACAGCACTACGAGCCGTTTTCTTCACACACTTCCGCAAGCAGTTTATAGAAGCTGAACACTGTCGCAGGCCACTGTTTATGGCAGGGGTGTCAAACTCAACTGGAAGACTGTATAGATCAGGGGTCACCAACCCCCGGTCCATGGACCAGTACCAGTCCATAGGTCATTTGGTACCGGGCCGCAGTGGGACACAATGAAAAAATTTACTTAATGTAAACTGATTTACTTCATTCAAGGAAAGTCCAGGCAAGGCAATATTTTAAAATAATACATCATTCAGACTCTGATCCAAACAGAATAGAGTCTAAAAGATGTTTTATTTTGAAAATGTAATGATCCTTCAATGCTCAGCACCTTGGTACAGGTCTGTACTAACGGGTGGTACTGGCTGACCAGTCCTTGGAACAAAAAGATAGGTCACCGCTGGTATAGATGTAACTACTCCATTACAGACTAATACATGTTTCTGCAATTGATTATTATTTCATTGATGATAAAAAAAATTTAATTATTTAGGTTAAGAAACTCTGCTGCATGGACTTTACTTAATGCTTTTTAAGCTCCCACGGGCCACACAACGCAGCTCGGCGGGCTGCATTTGGCCCCCGGGCCTTGAGTTTGACACATATGATTTATGGTAACAGCTAAATGTGTGTGTTGTAGTGGTGTATTCTCCGAGTCGACCGGTCAATTCATTGGTCGATACGTTCTGGCTTGACCAAAATTCTGATTGGTTGATATTTTGACATGTACCTGAAGTGCTAATGGGTGTTTTTTAGAACACCACTGTTTCACAGGTAACACTTTATCTTCAGAAGAGCCCCCCCGTGTTTTCTACCATGTCAAAGATATCGTCAGGGTGAGAGCATTTAAAATAAATACATCGGAAAACATATCACAGCTTGATAACAAACATGACATATCACCTTAAATCGTCAAGCTATCTACTTGGATTGTAGTTAGCTTGGAACTGTGACACAGCGCCCCCATGCGCACAATGGAATGTGACCTCTGGATTTTACATCACCATCACCAAACTAACCAGGTCTGGTTTTATCACAGTCTTTTATATAAGGAAACAGACTCACTTCAGCTAGCACAGGCTAACGAGCGATCAGGAAAAACAACAGGCAAGGATCGTAGTCAGGAACAGAAGACTGGTGGGTTTACCTGGACAGAGACACGACAGAGGTCAAAGGTAGGTCAGGTCAATATCTGAAGCCATTAGGAAATGCTGGAAAGTCTGCATGGGCGCAATGACAATCTGACAAGGAGTGTAGCTGTATGTGTCCTGGGTGGAGCAGGTGGAAGCAGTTATGCTGATTAGGGGCCGTGTCTGCAGGAGTGATTGAGCAGAGGTGGAACTTTTCACTGCAATGGAGCAGACTGACATGGTGAGCAGGTGAGAGGAGTTTACATTGATGAAGGAGTGTGGCCGCAGAAGTCTGTTAATCACACAGCACAACGACGGACCGCGCTGGATGCTAAACCTCCTCTATTTTTCAACTTTTTAAATTTGACTTCCACACTGATCTTGATCTGGTTCGTTCGATAAATCGCTTTATTTCTTATTGTGGAATTTCTTTTTGTGTTTAAGAGCAAAGGTTTTTAGCCGTGTTCAGTCTCACTCTGTGGGACGATAAGCACAGAGTAAAATGGTGGCAAACAATTGTCTAAATATTTTTTAACAGTTCTTGTGCTGATGTCATCAGTTTACATATTTAGATATTTTCAGAAATTGTCCACTAAAATAATGCAAAATAATTCGGTAAAAAAAACTACTAGTCTTTATGGTTGTTTGTAATAATTTTGGGCAGACAAAATTAATTATACATTTAT